CTAGGAGGCTGAAATTTTAGGGTAATGACCCACTGCCCACGCTCAACCTTGCCCATTCAAATTCAGTGTTCCCGCGCTCCAGGGTTTCACCTACGGGCTAGTGAAAGTTTTTACGGATGAATTATTATCTCGGGAACCACGTATCTAGAAATTTGCCCCACATGGTTTCGAATTCAGCTTTCATGCGCTAGTGCGTGAAATTTTTAATTATTTTCCAACTGTTGAACTATTTTTGCGTAGACAAAAGTACAAAGCAGTGAAAATCATTAATAGGCAATCGTTCGATGGGCTGAATTGCACAAAATGCATGATCGCACCGGCTAATCTGGTGCGCGTTGCTATTTATTGTTTTTCATTTTTACATTTCTCCGTCTATTTTACCGCTTTTTTGGCCGGGCTTCACACGCTTCGGTGGATTTTCTGGCATCCTTGCTTGTCGCGTCTTATTGTCCCACTATCCCCCTCCGTCCTTCGGCCCAATTTTATGTCCATTTATTCAGTTAGTTCCTGCTGTTTTTGCCTCTCGCGGGGACTGTTTTTGCACTGCTTTGAAGATAAAGTGTTCGTGTTTTTCTAAGTGTACCATTGTTGTGCCACAAATAATAGTCAAGAAAATAATGCAAAAAAAAGTTTAGCGACAAGTGAACTTTCCATAATTCCTTTTTCAGTCACTGCAATGCTTCTCCCATGTCCTTCCTTCCCCAGCAGATCTGCACTGCTTCGAAAACTTAATCTCTGTGGCGTTGTTTGCATAATGCTCTTCACTGTGAATAGTTAGGGGCCGGTAGGAGGTGGCCTGAATATAGGTAGCCATTCTTTAAGACTGTGACAAGCTGTTGTTTCATCGTTGCGTTTCTTCCAGGCTAACAAATTCTCCATCCTCCTTCACGGGAGCGGGAGAAGGACTGCGAACTTACCCCGAATATTGGTACTCATTTTAAAACTCTGATCAGTTGTTTTCTCATCGTCGCGTTTCTCTTCGTCGTTCTCAGTTTTGGGCCCCTCTCGTGCATAAAATTCCATATAACTTTTCTAACCGACTGTAATTTTAATTTTAGATGATGTATGTTTATGTAAAAAGTAAGGGTTAAAAAGAAAGGAATAAAAAGGTGAATAAGATAAATCGGATTGAAAAAACCTGAATAGGAATGTTTCGGTCCATTAAGCCGCATGCATTCCTGTTCACTGCTGCAACTGGACCTCGTCAGTGTGACGGTTGCAGCAAAATTAACTCGCAAGGTGTCAAAAAGAAAAAGGGGAATTTTGATAATGTAAAAAAGTTGGAGCGATTCCTCACCACCATAGCCTCGTCCCTTATCTCCAGTTCTCTTATTCCGTAAATATTTGGCTCTTCTCATTAATGAAATTTTTTTTTTTTTTTTGTAACTTATATTCTATGGCCAGTGACAGTGGTGATAAGGATTTTGGATGGACCAGGTACATACATTGCAGGAGATGCAGCGCAATCTGGTGGCATTGCTGGGAGGGCAGCTGCGAGGTTTCGCGACCAGCAGCCGATGTATGCGCGAGAAGATCAAAGTGGCCAATCCGGTTGTGGATCTGGATGGCGACGAAATGACCCGGATTATTTGGGCTGAAATTAAGAAAAAAGTGGGCATGCTTTTCCTCTCAAAATTTTTTCCACTTTCTTTGCTGCTTCACATCACTAGGTTCGTTTTTGCTCGCCGAAACCAATTCGCATCCACCAGCGATACAACGTAAAAATTCCCGTGCAGTACAGAGCCAATCGTTTTCCCGCTCGCCATTGGTGCAATTCGCAACTTCTCTCTACATTTTTCCGTATTTTGGATTTGCCGCATTCGCGAAACTCCACAGATGGCTTAAACGCATTTTTCCTCCGTTTACTGATCGTCCCTCGAACATCTGTCTGGCGTCAGGCGGGTGCATCCATCCAGCTTCTTCGCGTCTTTTTTCCTGATGTTGCATGATACAAGGAAAATAAGGATTGGTGACAAAGTATGGTCGCTCTCAACCAAGAAGTCATCAATTATTTTTTTGTCCTAAAGTTGCACTTTTCTTATTTTTTGTTACTTAAACTTATAAGTCCCTCTCGTGAACGTCATAGATCACATGTTAAGAAAGGAGACAGAAACGAATACGTTAAAATTCGAAGCAGCATTTTTCGAAGTGAAAGCGTGAAATTCCATGGATCTCAAGACTTAAATCACAATCTTTGGGGGACTGTTTTTAGGAACCACGTTAAAAGTATGTGACAATTTTGTAGCTTATTTTGCCGTATCTCGACATTGACATCAAATACTACGACCTTGGCTTGCCGAATCGTGACCGAACAGACGACCAAATCACACATGACGCAGCAGAGGCAATCAAGAAGTATAATGTCGGAATAAAGTGTGCCACAATAACGCCTGATGAGGCCAGGTGAGGGTCCAGCAAAGCTAAACTTGTGTCCGATTCATTTGAATGTTTCCATTCCTTTGGGTGATATCTTTTGAGTCACATGAATTCATTCATTCATTTTTCAAAAGAATCGGAAAATAAATAAGCATCCTAATAACTCAAAGTATTTAGAATAGATTTAGAATGGCTCTCCAACTACCCAGCTTACGGCTCTTCGAGTTGCTTTGACCAATGCTGCACCGTTTGTTGGCCAGTATGTTGGTCTGTTCCTGACTTGGTTTCGTCTCCGGAAGGAATTGCCAGCTCAGAGCGAATTTTCCAATAAAAGCACATGACTTTAACTGTGTTAGGGATGTCTTGCGCGTGTTGAGCATTATCACCTTGCCCCGAACTTGGGCACTTCCAGACCTAGATTACGACGGGGCGTTTTTTAAATATGAGTGCTTTTTTGTAGAGTGAAAGAATTTAATCTGAAGAAAATGTGGTTGAGTCCGAATGGCACCCTACGAAATGCTCTCGGAGGAACGGTTTTTCGTGAGCCGATCCTGTGTAACAACATTCCAAGACTTGTACCAGGCTGGAAAGAACCGATCATTATTGGTCGTCATGCATTTGGTGATCAGGTGAGCAATCCATTAGCACTTCCATTGTGTGATAGTCCTCGGAGATGTGCTGGGACAATCAAAATCTTGTGAGGAACCGATTATTACCGATGCTACTGGGATGCATGGCGCAGTGGACACAGCTATGATAGGCCGTCCTCTCTGGGGTCGCATGTTTCCACTTTAGTGAGTGCCGCTCATTTATTTAATTGCCGCTAAATTTCAATATATCACCGCAAATACTGTCAAAAAGAAGTAATTTGTAACAAATGAGAAATGAATGGGCACTGGAAGTGCGGGAAAGTGTGGCGCATATTCCGGTTTTCTGTTCGGGCAAGTAACAGTACTTTTTTTCTAAACTAATTCAAATTTTTGCTTTATAGTACAAAGCGACGGACGCTGTTGTAAGCCAAGGAACGAAATTTGAACTGTGCGAAGTTGCTGACGGACCGGAGAAGCGTCACGATGTGTTCACATTCAATGACAGCGGCGGAGTTATCATGGGAATGTATAACACTGATGAGGTTAAATTTTTGAACTCTTTTCTCGTAAACTCACATCCATACGCTTGGCTGTGGCTTGGGATTGCTGGTAACTTGGCAAGATCAAGTCAGGGCAGGCAGATTTCTTACCTTGGGATGCTGCGTATATCTCGCGATTTGTCACACAACCGAGGCGAAAAATAATAAAAACGCAGGCGCTAACTTACAAAAAATTGTTTAGGGCAAAGAAACAAACAGATATCAACATCTGAAGTACTGGGAACCCCAGAGCTACAGATAATGAATTATTAGCAGCATAGTCATAATTCACTCTTGCAGCTTTGCACTTGGCAACTTTTTCAGATGACTTGCATTGTCTGAAAGTGTACCTGCTTGTCGTCCTGGCGCTCCATAGAGATTTACATTTTAGCAGTGCTTCCAACAGAGGCACTTAGCAAGGCTTCAGCAATTTTAAGATGTCATAGGAGTGTGCTGAACATCACCATTTCGTCCCAAACGGGGTATTAAAAATCACGCGATGCAAAGTTGAAGTAGAGAAACAGGTTTGTTCTCCCGATATGCACTTATGAATGGTAACTGTCAGGCACTGAATTACAGGAAATTATACAAAACACCATTCGATTTCTCGCTGGTCTCAGTTGGGCTTGAACAGTACGGCTCTTGCGAACACTGTAAAAGAGCAAAGGCATTGACTTGACGGGTTTATAATCAGCGAAGATTCATCTGCTATTAGATATAGGACTCAAACACACTTCCGTCGTCACTGCACACTCCTTATTAAGGATTTCAACGCAAAAGTTCATCTACAGCGAAATCGTCAAGAGATGTATAAAACTGGCGATCTAATCAGGGCACAGGCGAATCCTGGGCGGTCACTTGGAGGAGGGGCGATTCGAGCGGTTTTTGTTCCCCTTCCCTTCCTCCCCCCTCCCCCTTTCCTTCCCACCTTCCCTCACCGCCCTTCAACTCTATGCTCGTCACTATACCGAAAGCCCAATCTTTCCCTCGACCACCATGCTTCTGCCCACTCGGTCATCCCCCTATCTTCCCCCCCCCCTCCCCCCCCATGAAGGTCCCATTGCATCCCTCCCCCTTCTCTTCCTACCCTTTACTCGTCCATGAACTACGGTAACGACCGAAGGGGAGGCCCTTGGGGGAGGGGATGGGGCGACACGGGGTATCGAAGAGAGTTTTCTACAGTAAAATAACTGCCATCTGCGCC